TCTCCCCCATCCGCGCATCGCTCTCCCCGGATCCCTCCACCTCCGCGGGCGCGGCACCTGGCGCGCTCATATGGGGCGGGGAAGTGTTTCCGCATGGGGCGTGGAGCGGAGGTGGCGCGGCAGGAGTGACAGGGGAAGGGGTGAGCGAGGAGCGCGAGAAAGGGGAGCGGGAGATGGCAGGGCGGCAGCTGGTGGTGCAGGTGCGGGAGGTGGAAAAGGGGGAGGGTGGGCGCAAGGGGCCAGTGGCGGGCGGGAAGGGGGAGGTCGGGGAGGAGGGCAAGGGGAGGAAAGAGGCGCCTTGCCCGAGCGAGGGGGAGGGCGAGAAAGCACGAGAGGTGGTGGCGGCGGCGGCGGCGCGGCGGTGGTTGATGGATGAATTGGCGGCGCTGGGCGTGGACAGCGGGGAGGAGAGCGGGGCGGGGGAGGGGGAGGAGGAGGGGGAAGGGGAGGGCGCAAGGGAGAAGGGCGCGCGGGAGCGGGGCGTGCGAGTGAGCGGGCTGGAGAGACGCGTGGTGAGCCGACGGTCGCCCACCAGAGAGCAGTGGGCGGACGAGGTGAGTCCCTGCTGCTGCTGCTGCTGCTGCGCCTCCCCTCCCTCCCGGCTCCCTTTCCCCTTCCCCTCCCCCCTTTTGCTGGCGTCTCCACTCTGTGCGCCGCACTCTCGCCCCCACGTGCACACCCTTGCTCCTCAGCCATGTCTGTACCTCCAGTCCCCTTCCCCCGCCCCCACGGACCTCATCTCCCCCATGTCTCCCTCTCCTTCCCCTCTCCCCTCCTTGCCTTTCCCCCCACTTTCCTCTCCCCTCACTTTCCCCCCGTCCCCTCCTCTCCCCCGTCCGTGCCGTTACAGCGTAATCCCAGCCGTCTATCGCGCTCCTCGCTCTCCCTGCCGCGCCACTCCGTGCCACTGCCCGCCCAAGTGAACCCCCCAGCACCCGCGCCTGCCGCCAGCTCCTTCTCGGGTCCGCTTCGCCTGGGCGCCGCCAATACCGCGGGCAGCGCGGGCGCCGCCAGCAGCGCGGGCAGACGGGCGGCGGGCGCAGGGGAGCGACAGGGCGAAGGGGGAGCGGGAAGGGAGGGGAGTGAGAGGCAGCGAGCGTGGGAGGGGGCAGCAGGGGGGGCGGGCGAGGAGAGCGGGGAGGGATGGGGGATTGGAGAGCAGCAGGTGAACGCGCATACTGGCGGCAGTGGTGGCGTTGATGGTGCCAGCGGGGATGGTGGCGGGGGTGCGTCCACCACGTTGCTTGAGCGCCCGCCCTCCCCCGCTCCCTGGGTATGTTTCGTCCATGCGCGCCCGCTGTGATGCGCGCCCGCTGTGACTGCCCGTGCGCGCCTGCTGTGACTGCCCATGCGCGCCTGCTGTGACTGCCCATGCGCGCCCGCTGTGACTGCCCCGCACGCCACACCATGCGTTCTGCAATCCCCTCGAAGTTACATCTTCCTCTGCATCTCACATCCGTCTCACCCTCCCCTCCCCATCATTCTCCCCGTGCTGCGCCTGCCAGGTCCCTCGCCCCGGCCAATCGTCCGCGCGCCTCGCGCGCACCAGCAGCTCCATCTCCTCTGCTGCGCGCCCGCCCTGCGCTGCTGCCCCGGGGGGGCGACCTGGGGGGAGCGTGGGCGGGAGCGCAGGCGGAAACACAGGCGGAAACCCAGGCGGGAGCATGGGGGGGGGCATGGGGACAAACATGGGGGGGAGCATGAGCGGCAGTTGGATCAATCCGAACATGCGCGCAGGCACAGCGGCGGCGGGGGGGAGGGGGGTAGCAGGGGCGGGGAGGCAGGGACAACCGGGCATGGGGGGAGTGCGGCGGCCAGCAACAGGAGCAGGCAGCGTAGGCAGTACGGGCATGAGGGGCAGCATAGGCGGGAGGAGTGCGAGCATGGAGGTGGCGCGTGCGCGGCTGCTGGCAGAAGACGCGGTGCTCACAGACGCCATCCTCACGGGCGCCCTCATGCCGCCCCCCGCCTCCTCCTCCTCCTCCGCCTCCCTGCGCTTCCCCCAGCGCGCGCAGCAAGGCAGCACTGCCAGTGCTAGCAGCAACGGCGGTGGTATGGTGGGTAGCAGCGTGGGCGGCAGTCACAGCATCAGCGTGGTGATTGGGCGGCGCAGCGTTGACGGCAGCAGCAGCGGCGTGGTTCTGCAGAGACAGGGCAGTGCGGCGCTCAAACGACAGGGTAGCATGCGGCAGGGTGGTATGGGGCAGAGCGGCGGGCAGGGCGGCATGGGGCAGGGCGGCATGGGGCAGAGCGGCGGGCAGGGCGGCATGGTTCAGGGCGGCATGGGTCAGGGCGGCAAAGGGTTGAGCAGGCAGAGCAGCAATGCCTCCCACAGGCTCAGCAGCAGCAGCAGCACGGGCATGCGAGCCGCAAGCAGCACACGCAACACCACTCCCACCACCCCCACCACTCCCACCACCCCCACCCGCGCCACTGCACCCACCACCCCCACAACCCCCACGGCTACCAGCATTGCATCAGCAGCAGGCAGCCCCCTCCACAGCACCGCCACCACCCCCACGGGCGGCAGCGGCAGAAGCAGCGGCAGCGGCAGCGGCAGGAGCCCGGCGCGGCTGCCAGCAGGGCAGCGGTCGCGCGTGTTCACCCCCGCAGACCTCGCCCGCGCCACCGACAACTTCCACTCGTCCCGCCTGGTGGGGTCGGGTGCGTATGGCCCCGTGTTCCGCGGGGCCATCCACGGCTGTGACGTGGCCGTCAAGCGCCTAAGGGCGCGCGAGGGGCGCGCGCGCAGCGAGGGCCGAGAGGCGTTCAAGCGCGAGGTGCAGGTGCTGAGCCGCGTGCGGCACCCCAACGTGGTGCTGCTCATGGGGTGCTGTCCGCAGGACCTCTCGCTTGTCTATGAGTTCATGGCGGGGGGGAGCCTGCAGCACCGCCTGGCAGCGCAGCACAAGCGGGGCGCGCAGGAGCAGGAGAAGGCAGGGAGCAGCGGCGGCAAGTCGCCGTCCTTCTCCTCTTCCTCCTCCTCCGGCCAGCTCTCCTCCCTTTCCCCCATGTCCCCTTCCCCCCCCGCCTCCCCCATCGCCTCGTCGCCATCCCCCCTGCCTTGGCACGACCGGCTGCGGATTCTCTCCGAGGTGGCCTCGGCGCTGCTGTACCTGCACCGCTGCTCGCCGCCCATCGTGCACCGCGACTTAAAGCCCGACAACATCCTTCTCGACGCGCACGGCACCAGCAAGATCGCGGACGTGGGGCTCGCATGCCTGTTACGGGACGGCAGCACGGTGGTAACCACACACCGCATGCGTGGCACCGTGGGATTCATCGACCCGGAGGCCATTGCATGTGGCGAGCTCTCCCCCGCCTCCGATGTGTATGCGCTGGGGGTGGTGGCGCTCATGCTGCTCACCGGTGCCGACTCCCCCAAGCACGTGCACCGCCTGCTCGCCCTCTGCCCCACCACCATCTCCTCCCCACCACCCCCCCTCCCCCACCACCCCTCACGCCACCGCTGGCACCGACGCCGACTGCGACCCGCCTCTGACGCCCAGGAGCGCCCTGCCGGCTGTGCCCACACGCGACCTTCCCCAGTCAGTGGCCATCCTGCTGCCGCACCTTGACACGCTGGCGGGCGCGTGGCCTGCTGACGTGGCGCAGCGGGTGCTGCGGGTGGCAGTGCGGTGTGTGGAGCGGGATGCGCGCATGCGGGCGGACCTGGCGGGGGAGGTGGTGCCCGCGTTCAGCGAGGCGGCCGCTGCTGGCCGGGCCGATGTAACTCGGCGCAGTGATGCCCTCGAAAGCACTCTTGTTTGCCCGCTGTCCAAGGTACTGCTGCGGTACTGTCGGGTGCTGTCTGGGTGCTGTTTCAAGTACCACAGGCTCGTTGCCTTCTCACTCTCCTGTCTTTCTCTCATCACTTCACCTCTCTCCTCAATTACCGTCTGACTCACTCGCTTCCCCTGTCCTCTTCCTCCCTCCCTCCCTCCCCACCCTTGCGTGCAGCAACGCATGGAGGACCCAGTGATAGCAGCGGACGGGTTCACATACGAGCGGCGCCACATGGAGGCGTGGCTGGCGTCGTCGCTCCTCTCGCCCTCCACCGGCCAGCCCCTCCCCCACCCGGGGCTCACCCCCAATCACCTCCTGCGCTCCATCATCCTCGGCTCCCAGGGCAACCAGGCCTCCCGCAACTGAGGCATGTCCCAGACAGGTATCTCCCAGGGGAGGTAGCATCCAGGGCAGTCAGGCCAACCAACCACCTCCTGTGCTCCATCGTCCTCGGCTCGCAGGGCTCCCAAAGCAGCCAGGCCACCCGCAACTGAGGCATCATACAGGGCAGGTAGCGTGCTGGGCAGCAGCTGCTGAGGCGCCATAGAGGGGAGGAAGGGGTGTGCATGGCGCCCGGAAGGTTGAGGCATGGTGGAGGAGAGGAAGAGGTGATGTCCTATGCAGAGCAGCACGCATGGGGTGTTGGATGTGGTGCGGGGTTGCAGTGGAGGGATGGACAAAGTGGAGGGAGTGGAGCGGAGGGGTGGAGGAGTGCAGATGGGTGAAATGGCGGCGTTTGTTTTTAGCACCTGCACACTGATTTGCACTGCAATGGATTGTATACGTGTTTTGATGGCAAAAGCTTAGTTTGCCAGCATAGCATAAGGTATTAGAAACATATGACTTGTATTTATTCTGGATTTCTACAATATAGTAGTGAGAATACTTCCACTATTGATGCAACATCTTCCCACCTTTTACAGTTTTAGTACAGATTTACAGTTTTGTACAGCACTAGCATGCATGCACTCACTCTACTTCCCGCTCTGCCCCTGCCACGTCTCGCGTCGCACCTCCCCGTTTTCCGTCCGCTCCCCTTCCCGTAGACTCCCTTTGCCGCGGCCCCCTTTCCCACTCCCGCGGTTCGCTTTTCCGCACCGTCTTTCCTCCTCTCGCTCCTCGTCTCTCCTCCCAAATTTGCGCGCATCCCAATCGCGCGCGTTCCGCCTTCCGCGAGTCATCGCTCCCAGCGCGCGCTTGCGCCTTCCCGAGCGATGAGAGCCCCCTCGCAGCCCGCCGTGCCGCTTGCCAACTTGGCCGCCGGCGGCGGACCGCGGCGGGGGGAACGGCGTCGGGAGGGCGCGAGGGGCAGCAAGGGGAACGCCTCCGCGGATTGGAGCGAGATTGTAGAGGCGGGGGAGGGGCGCGCCGTCGGGGGGAATTCGCGCAGCAGAGGCGCACGATGTATGATCGGGGGAGGGGAGTGGTGCGGGAAAAGTGGGGCGGGGCGAGGGGCAGTTAGCGCGGGTGTGTGAGGGGGAAAGTAAACGCGGCTGGGTTGGGCTGGGTGAGCGGGTCGGTGGTGGGTCGCAGGGGTGTGAGCCGCTGGCTGTGGTGGCCCGGGGAGAGGCAAACGGTTGCCGCCCGCATGGCCATGTCCCATGCCATGCCATGCTGCCACTTTCACCATCTACTTACACTCTCTCCTTCTCCCTTCTCTTTCCTCCCTCCTCTCCCTTCACCCCAACTCATCACCTGTCCGCAGCGCCCACCTCGCCACGCTCCCCCACGCGGGCAGCTGTGTCTCCGCGTCACTCGACCCAAGCGCCCCTCTCCCCCCGCCCCACCTCCCCTCGCCATTTTTCCTACAACCTGCGCCTCCCTTGCGCGACTTCCATCGCCCACCCGCTCCTCACCAACCCGCGCGCCCTGCTGCTCGCGCTGCTCCTCGCTGGGGCCCTCGCTCTGCTCGCCCTCCTGCCGCCCTTTGTACGATTTTCTGCTCTATATTGCCCTGCCGTGCCGTACCATGCCGTGCCTTGCCGTGCCGTGCCTTGCTGTGGCGAGTCGTGATGCCAGTCTGTCAGCATTTCGCTCGCCATGCCGCCTGTTTCTGCTTTCACCGTTGTGCTATTCTACATAGTGCTGCCGGATCACACCATGCTGCTTGCTCCACCGCACCATTTCTTCTTTCCTCTCACTTCCTCCCATCGTTCCATACACCCTCCGTCGTCCCATCACCCTCCCCTCAGGCCCATCATAGCACCTCCTCCGAAGCAACCCCCCTCTCTGCCGCTGCTGCAGGCACCACCCTCGGGTACTGCCCTCCCTCGCTCCCACCCCATCGCTCATATTACATCCCACCATCCCCATGCCACATACCACATTCTCTTTCCCCACCTCGTAATCTTCCATCCGTCCCACCATCCTGCCATCCCCGGTCCGTGCGTCCCCCTGCCACCCATCTCTCACTTCTCTCCCTTTCCCCCTTCCCCTCCCCCCACGCGCCCTCTCCTGTGCTTCCCCACGCGCCCCTGCAACCCCCTGCAGCGCCTCGCCCCAGCAGTCACGGCTGTGGCAGCTGCTGCAGCGGCAGCAGAACCTGCACGCGCAGCAGGCGTGGGGGCGACTGCACCAGTCGCTGCTGCTGCCGCTGCACCACCGCTTCTCCCGCTGGTCGCTCTTTACCTCTCTCTTCCACGTGCGTGCGTCTGTGCTCTGCACTCTGCTCTGCACTCTGCTTTGCTCTGCATTTGCGTGTGCTCTGCTCCCTAGTTTCTCAATGCTCCCTGTCCCGTCACATTCTGCATTTTGCCATCTGTTCTCCACTCTCCTCTTCTCACCTCCCCGCCACATTTTTCTCTCTTCTTTTCTGTCCTCCGTCCGCTCCATCTGCTCTCCCTGTCCCCGTCAGCACGTACGTCTGGGAGGGGAGCGCCTACTCTTTGTCAACGCCTCTCTGCCTCCCTCCGCGCTGCCCCCCTCCGCGCTCCCCTCCCCCTCACTGCCACGCTCCCCCTCGCCGTGGCTCAACGCGGGGGGGAGGCTGGAGGAGTGGGGCGGGGGCGATGGGCAGTGGCGGCGGGTGGCATGGAGGGGCGTGAGGGGGAGGGCAGCAGCGTGTGTGGCACTGAGAGACACATTTGATACCGCCAGGGGGGAGTATCAACGCGCACTGCAGCTTCACCTGCAGTCCCTGCTCCCCCCGCTCTCCCCCCCTTGCCCCTCTTCTCCTCCCCGCCCCCCTGACCCTCCTCCCTCTGCTCTGCGCTCCTCCCTCTCCGCCCTGCGCCAGCGCCTGCTTACAGAGTGTGCTTATAACGGGGACGAGCTAGACCTGCCAGCAGAAGAGAGAGGGACGCTCAGACTGAGGGAGGAGGAGAGGAGGAAGGGCGGGGGAGGGACAGGCGAGGGAGGGGAGCGGGGCAGGCAGGAAAAGAGTTTGTTAGAGGCAGACGGGGGGTGGCGGTGCAAAGGGGACGAGCAGGGGAAGGAGGCGCGGGCGTGTGTGGGGGTGAGGGCGGACGTGCCGGTTTGGCAGCGGCGGCGCGAGCTGTTCCCACAGGTTGCAGTGGGCATGTCGCTGCTGCTGCAGTACTTCCAGCAGCCCTCAAACGTGCAGCCCCTCGTCTCTCGCTTGCACGCCTGCGCTGCTCAGGGGGGAGGCGGTGGGGGTGTGGGTGCTGCAAGTGGCGGTGGTGGTGCTGCTGCTGCTGCCAAGACAGAGGGTGGTGGTACTGGGAACGTGGGTGGGGGCGCGGATGCACAGCAAGGGCGTGGGCGTGGGATTGGGGTTGGGGTTGGGGGTGGGGATGGGGGGGCAGGATGGGAGGTGTGGGAGGGGCTGGGGGGCGAGGTGAGTTGGGATGAGCGAGCGGTGGGGAAGGGAGGAGGTGCAGCGGCGGGGAAGGGAGGAGGTGCAGGGGCGGGGGGGGCGGAGAATGGCAGCATAGCAGGGGAAATGGGCGGGGGGGGGCAGGCAGGGTACAGGATAGAGCTGACCGCCAATGTGGATGAACCCTCCTCCTGGCCGCTCTGGCTGCAGATGTGGCAGGACACTGGGGGAGGGCATGGGGAAGGGCAGGGAGGGCAGGGTGGGCAAGGGGGAGGGCAGGAGAGAGGGCAGGGGGGAGGGAAGGGGGAAGGGCAAGAGGGAAGGCCGGAGGGAGGGCAGGGGGTGAGCCATTGGGCAGGGCTGTCACTGCCACCGCTACCGAGTCAACCACAACCAGGCCCCGAGCCTACCAACACCACACTCCTACCCCCCTCACATCCCCCTTGGTGCGGGCATCATGGGTGCAGCCACCCCTCCTTCCTGCGCGTCATCTTCCGCCACAACACCCACGAGGTCTTCGCCTTCAACCGCGCCGCCTCCGCCTCCCGCGCGCCCCTGCTCGCCCTGCTCCAAGACGACCTCCTCCCCCCCGCCTCCTGCCATTGGCTGCACGCCATCCTGCACGCCCACGCCGCCCAGCCGTCCCTCGCAGCACTGGGGTACCGCACAGGCAAGGTGGATGTGGACAGCCGCGGGGGCGAGGGCGTGAGGGCGTACCAGCGGCAGAGCCGGGCGCTGTGGGCGCAGCCGGCGTGGGAGGCGCGGGCGGGCGTGCGGGGGTACATGGCGGGGGTGGTGGACTCGGGGCCGCTCGTGGTGCGGCGTGCGGTGTGGGAGCGCATGGGGGGGCTGGATGAGGGCATGTCGACGAGAGGGCAGAGCGCCATGGTGACAGACTGGGTGCTGGCGTTCCATGTGTGGATGGCCGGCCACAAGGTGCGTGCATGGCTTTTGAGGTGCCTCAAAAGGCTGGATGAGGGCATGTCCATGAGAGGGCGGAGAGCCATGGTCACTGACTGGGTCATGGCGTTCCATGCATGCACGGGCCATGTGTGCATGCACGGGCCATGTGTGCATGCACGGGCCATGTGTGCATGCACGGGCCATGTGTGCATGCACGGGCCATGTGTGCATGCACGGGCCATGTGTGCATGCACGGGCCATGTGTGCATGCACGGGCCATGTGTGCATGCACGGGCCATGTGTGCATGCACGGGCCATGTGTGCATGCACGGGCCATGTGTGCATGCACGGGCCATGTGTGCATGCACGGTGCCCCGTGCCAACCTCGTGCTGCCGCTGCTGGATGCGTGGCAGTGACGGGTGAGAGTGGGTGGCGGTGATGGGTGGCGATGGTGGGCGGCAGTGACGGTCGACAGTGAAGGGCGGAAGCGACAGGAGATGATTCGCTTGACTGCGCATGAACCGAAGCTGGATGTGTGGGATGGGGGTGATGCACGCTGCTGCTGGTCTGCCTGACCACCATGCTACAGCACAGCCACTGCAGCCTCGCCCTTGCAGGCATCACGACTCACCACAATCAGTGCATGGTGAGAATAAGCATGTTTAAGCATCCCATCCGACATGTTTGTTTGCACTTTCAGCCCAGTATTCTGACAGCAGGGCGCCGTGGGAAGGATGGGATGGGTGGGATGCAGTGTGAGTGGCGGCACTTACTGAGGCGCCATGCTTTTCACATGTCAACCCATTCTGCAACGTCTTGTCTGTGCTGACATTATCAACATTATTTAAAAAGAATATGGTACAAGAACATCGAATCAGTGAATTTGTAAAGCCTGGCATGTGAGACAGAGCATCAGCTTGGTATACCGGCAGTGCTTCGGCTTGTTGCCAGTCGGCGTGCACGTCACTGCAGCAGCATCGCCAGCACCACTCAGTCGCTCTGGGAAGGCAGGCAAGCACGCGGCGTCTGTAAGCTGTGGGGCGTCACTCCCCACACCTTAGTGATTCCCCACACCTCAAGGGCGCAATCTGGGCGTGGGGTGGGGGGTGTCACTCAGTGTCAGGCATGGGGCAGTCGAGGGCGGGCAGGCTGTGCAGCAGTGAGAAGAGCTGCTCCGCATCAAACGACGCCTCCCTCCCTCTTACTGGCCCCACTCCCTCCCCCTTCCCACTCCACCGCGTCACTGGGCCATGGGGTGGCATCACTCAGGCATGGGGCAGTCGAGAGCGGGCAGGCTGTGCAGCAGGGAGAAGAGCTGTTCTGCATCAAACGACGCCTCCCTCCCCCGCCCCACCCCGCCACCCTCCCCCCCCCACACCACCTGCTCCTGCTTCTCCCCCTGCTGCTCCTCCTGCCTCGCCGCCCCTGCCCCCACCTGACTCTCCCCCACTGTCTCTCCCGCCCACCCTCCTCCCATCTCTGCCCCAACCCCCCCCGCCATCACAGCTGCATTCCCGCCTGCCACCCCTCCCACCACAGCTCCGCCACTCTCACCTGCGCCCTCCTTCCCGCTGCCCGCGCACACCCCCGCGCCTGCACTCCCTGTGAGCACATTGGTCACCACCAGCGCGCCAAAGCTGTTCTCCGAGATCAGGATCCGCCTCGGCCCGCCCTCCCCCTCCCCCTGCGCCAGCCCCTGCCCCTCTCCCTCCCCCTCCCCCTCCCCCTGCGAAAGCTGCCACGCCACGCTGCTGCGGCAGCGCTGCAGGCGCCGCAGCCAATCAGGCATGGCGGCTGGGTCGGTGGGGGCGTCTCCGCCCGTGAGAGGCGGGAGGGAGGAGTGGGGGGGAAGCGGGGGGAGCGGGGGGAGCGGAGGGGGCGGGGGGGAGGAGGGCGTGAAGTGCACGGGAGCAACGGTCGGTTGAGAGAAGGCGAGTGTTGTGAAGGGGAGAGGGTCCGAGGGGCCTGCGAGGGGGGAGGTGAGGGCAGCGGGAGCAGAAAGCGGCAACTCCAGGGGTACTGCGTCATGCACAGGCTGTGCCACGGGCGGACGGGGGTCCCAGTGGGCGGCATGCGCGGCCATGGAATGCAGGTCGTCCGCGGACAGCCGTGCATCCGCGCGCCTCAGACGGGCCACTGCAGGCGGGGCTGACGCTACAGCGCTCACGGCTGCGTGCACTTCTGCGCCCAGCGCGGCGGGCTGAGTTGGCTGGTTCAGGTGCACTTGAAGGTGGTCGCTGCTGTACTGTTGCTGCTGGCCCTGCGACCACTCGGCTGCTGCGCCTGCCATCTGCACCTGCTGCTGCTCCTGCTGCTGCTGCTGTGGTTGGTCGTGTTGCACCGGGTACTGAAACTGAAGCTGCTGTTGCTGCCATTGCTGCTGCTGCTGCTGTTGCTGCTGCTGTTGCTGCCATTGCTGCTGCTGCTGCTGCTGTTGCTGCTGCTGTTGCTGCCATTGCTGCTGCTGATGCTGCTGCTGGTGCTGTTGTTTCTGTTCATACTGCTGCTCGTGCGCCCAGTGGGGGGGCTGCTGCTGTTGCATCAATTGCGCATTCACCCGCTCAGTGCCGCACGTGCACTCGCTGCACCGCGCCTCAACAACAGCAGGAGCGCGTTCCGCCGCACCCACGCGTCCCGCGCACGCCTCGTCCGCGGCCCATGGCAAGCCGCACGCAGCGGGGCCCTGAGGGGTGACGGGGGCGGAATCCGAGGCGGGGTGCTGCCACCCAGCGCTGCTGCTGGGGGGCGGGGGGGACGCAGAGGCGGACGCGGACGGCGGATGGGGGGCGGGAGCAAGCACGAGCATGGGCTGCTGCGCTCCACTCGCCCCCAACCGATCCGCACCCTGCTGCGGCCCCATAAAGTCACCGCTTCCTCCTCCGCCCCCTCTTCCTGCTGCAGCTGCAGCTGACCCCGCCGCCGCCCCCCTCATCTTCTCCTCCTGCTGCCTTTCGTGCCACTGAGCCGCTAGCCCAGCAGCAGTGGCGGTGGCCTGATCCGAAGGACCCCTCCACCCAGCACTGGCAGCAGTCGCACCTGCTGCTGCTACGCCCCCCGACACTTCCGCAGCAGAGCCCATCGCCTGGGGGACGCCCGCCTCCTCCGCCCATCCGCCACTCTCCGCTACACAGTCCCGCTCCGCGGAACGCCGCTGCTCGCCGCCCAGCGACGCGCCTGCCCACCCGCTGCTGCCGCCAACAGGCGACGCATCAGCAGCGGGGTGGGGCGAGGGGAGCGCGGCGGGGTGCATGCCCATCGTGATGGTGGCGGGCGGCGCGTGCAGGTGCCGGCCGCTGTACGAGATGGCGAGGTCGCTCGCGGGCGAAATCTTGTTGAAGTCCACCACGCGCTTCGCATCGCACTGCTCGTCGCCCACGCGGTGCGCACAGCGGAAGTAGTGCCTGGGGGGAGGAGGAGATGGGGGGAAAAGGGAAAGGGAAAAGTTAGGAACAGGCATGGCACAAGAGACGATATCTTGGGAGGCTCCCTGAAAAGAACATGCAGATTAAGTTGGGAATATGCTTGCTGCTTGCGGCAAGGGAAAGGGAAAAGTTAGGAACAGGCATGGCACACGCGACGACATTTTGAGAGGCTCCCTGAAAAGAACTTGCAAATTAAGTTGCAAATATGCTTCAAGCATGCATGCATGCGTGCAAGTTGCTGCATGCGGCTGGAACACTTTCAGAGCAATCTTGGGCTTTGAACACGGTCACAACCTTTCTCAGTTCCCTTCCAGATGAAGGAGAAATTCGTGCAGGGCCTTACCTGGTGTGCGTGCCGCCTGATAGTTCCTTCTGGCCGTACTTGAGCCACACGTGCCCGTCGCGCGGCAGCCGGTGCTCAAACAGGATCAGCTTCGACCGCTTGCACGGCCGCGCCGCGCTCGACGATCCCGCCGTCTTTCCCGCCGCCGCTTTCGGCGACTTCACATCGGACGACTCGTTGATTGCGTCGCCTGCCGCTGTGGGTGGAGTCAATGAAGTAACTATTACTGGAGGCGCCTCTTCTGCCGCCAGAGAGTCTTCGCTTCGTTCTCGCTTGATCGCGCGACCCTCCTTTTTGGTCGACTCGGCTTGGAGCCCTCCAGAGCCGTTAGTCTTTCTTCGATCTTCTTCCATGGTGATTTTGCCACCGAATCTGGAGCCGGCGTGGCCGGCGCAGCGTAGGGATATTGTACTTGAAATGCCTCCTCCAAGGAAGAAGCGGGGCTTGGAGTCGCGTGTAAGAGTTTCTAACTCAGCACACGGAGGCATGGTGGTGTCGCCTACGAATCACGTGCAGAATCTTGAGCTTAGAGCGAATACATTGGTGTCGAGGCGAAATAACAAAACGCTGTTTTTGTAAGGCCACATGTCGAGGGCGGTGGTAGAGATAGAACGGTCCGCGTGATGTTGCTTGCTGGCTGGCAAAATGGATGTGCAAACGGGACTGTGTGGCAGAACTACGCGTTGGAACGTTCGCTGACAATTTTCAGGCTACCCGACAATATTTATTTTTTTCTGGAATGCGAAGTTCTGTTAGAGCCAACGCTATAAGATGAATTTCCATCTTGCGACCAAACGGCTCAGTTATCTTCCACCATTTTCTACAACTGATTGCGGGGCAACCATCATTTTTGTGGACGATACTAGAAAGAAACACATTGTGAAGTGAGGCACGCCCAAACCAGCTTCCAGCCCACAATAGCATGTTGCTGGCTGACACGACACTGCACTCCACCCATGGTTGCGACTCGGAGTGGACTTACGCACCGTACTGTATCTCGTCAACCTCCGACAGTCTGAGCCCAGACAACGTCGCCGCTTTCCAGTTCACAAAACACGATGCCAGCGCACAATCAACGCGGACTTCATCGATGCCGTACGCGGTACACCTTGAGCGCGGATTCAATTCCATAGAGACGAATGAAGCCAAAAGCAACCGTGTGCTGTCAGCGACCCGCGTTTCACTTCACTCACGCGGAGAGTGTAGAAACGACACAAACATTACTGTTTCAGAGTACATGTTCTAAGCACAGTGCACTTTCAACAAAACATAGAATGCAAAAAAATCGTTTCACTACAGTTGTGCCATTCCATGTAAGCAGCAGGCAGCAGTGACCTTTTGCATGTGGCGAAGGCATTTCCCCATTCCCTAACAAAAATGAAGGAAGAACGCAGCGAGAAAATAGTAATAGTGACGACTTCTTTACGTTAATTCACAGTTGAGCTGTCGCTAACTATATTTAAAGGTGTGTACAGAAATTTGTTTTCTATTTCCTCGAGAAGTCGTGATGTTGTCTGGGCTTGTTCAAACATCAAACCCATGTACTGTTCAATCTTCGTCTTGTACCTACCTACTACCTAAACTGTACGACCATACTGTACATGATGCAAGATTCACGACACGACACGACCTTCGGTATGGAACAAACTGA